ACCAGGAGAGGTAGATGTGTTCCCTGAGCAGGGTCATAACTGATCCTGGGCTTCTCTTCCTGCTGCCTGCATGTTAGTCCTGGCTTGAGGCTTCTGCCGTGGTACTCGTAACCTCAGCCCTCCCTGGCTCCTGGTTCTGGTGGCAGTTTGCGATGGGGAGAGGGGCTCTTAGGGCTAAGCAGCAGAGCTTTGCCACAGCAGTCTTTATCTCTCTGTTTCACAGCATCCGTGGCCCCTATATCGCAGGACACCCCCTACCTCCTCTTCATTTCTGCCCCCATTCAGACCCAAGCCCTCTGCCAGCTGTGAAGCCTTCCTGGGCTCTCCCGGCTCCCCTGCCCTCCTGGGTGGGACCACACTGCATTGTCCCCATCACAGGGCTCTGCCCAGAGCCCAGCCTGACCCCACGTGCCGCTTTCCTCTTCCCTTGCTGGGCTCCAGCCCCTGTGCCAGCAGCCAGCTCCCAGCCGAGGAGCAGTGAAAGCTGGTATGGCCGGACATGACCTTAACCTGGGCTTTATTTAGCACCTTGATTTATGGAGGAGTTATTTTAAAAGTGTGTTTCTTTTTTGGGAGGTGTGGTGAGTGTGTGGTGGAGTGGTGGCAGTGAGCTGGAGTTCATAGTCCTCCGGTGCTATTGACAAAGAAGCGTTTGAGTCCCAGGACACATGTTGCTTGGGGAGATGCTCTCTGACTTGGTTGGAAAGCGTTCCTGTTTGCCTTTGTGCTGGGTGGCTGGAAAGGAGCAAGTGTCCCGGACCCTTCCAGTGAGGGGGATGTGGCAATACTGGTGGAGGCAGGGAAGCCCGAGAGAGGCATTCTTTGGGGGAGGCTGCTTTCTCCAGGAGGCTTCTGTTCTGGGCTCTGCCAGCTCTTGGGGCCGCTGTAGGCTGGCTGCGTGGGCAGTCATGGTCTGGAGTGGAAGTGTGCTGGGGCAGGAGTGCCCTCTCCTTGGATCCTTGCTGATTCTCCTCCTCTGTGGGCACTGTCCCGTCATCCGGAGTGGCAGAGGTTTCTCCTCATGCCTGCTGGGTGTTGCATGGCCAGCTTGAGAGAAGGGATGTGGTTTGTAAGTAGGATGGGCTCTAGGCTTCAGGTTTATCAGCCTCTGGAGCACAGGATGCTGTCCCCTTCTCTTGCTCTCTCAAGCTGGTTCATATGAGTTCCCCAAAGCATGGTTCCTCCGCACGTGTGGCACAGGCATGGGCCGCAGACTGGATGTGTGCAGCTGGCTGTCTGCGCTCTGGCATTAAACGGCAGGACCACGCAGGCTCTTGCAGCCCTTGCTGAGGCCCTTTCCTTGGGCCTCTCTGCAATTTGAGAAGTTAATTAGTACAAATAAGCAGCCCTATCCCTAGGATTGTGAGTCCACCATTGGAGGCGAATCTGCTGCTGTTGCAGGCTCCAAGCTCTGCCGTGTTTCACCCTCCGTGTTTCAAGGCGGCTTCTGAGCCCTTGAGGCTCTGCCATGCTTTGCCCAGACAGAACCCATCCTTGGGAGACCACCATGGGGGGGTGGGAGCACTGAGAAGCGCTGTTGCCTCCATGTTCATCTACAGCACATGGAGGCTGCGCCCATCCTTGTTCTGTAGCTGCCCAAAGATGCTGGTGCTACAATTGCGTGCAGCGTGATGGGATGTATGAATTTGGTTCCATGTTGAGGGCTTTTCATGTGGAATTAGCAGAGATTGGCGAAAACATCTTTCTGCCAGATGGTAGGGATTGAAACCTTCTCTCTGTCCCTCCAAAGCCTTGCACAGCTATCATGGCTTCATGGTGTAGTCTAGCCAGAGAGACATAAAGCCTGTGCTAAGGAGTACGTTGTTAGCACTGAACTCTGCAATGGCTACAGGCTATGGTTATTCTGTATTTTACTAAAGGAAGGATAATACACGGCTTGGTTTATTTTTACCATATAAAGGATTTTTGATTCAGTGCCAATGTTAATAATTGTCTTGTGAAGGCTTTGCTAAGGCAGCAGGAA